GGGACACTAACCACAAGATTGGTGAGGTGCAAAGATGGCATGCTCAGACCAAAGAAAAGCCTTTCCAAAGGAAGACAAAAGTGAAATAACCCCAATTTTTGCTAAAGCTTTGGAGAGACAGACAGAAAAAAAAAAAAAAAAAAACCAAAACCAAAAACAAAACAAAAAAAAAAAAAGAAAGAAAAGAAAAAAAATCGAAGACAAGGATCCAATCATAAACCAATCCAAGCACACTTCACAAGAAATGTGGCCGGCGGAGCTGCTGCGTGGGGAGCCAAACCCAGGGCAGACTCAAAAGAAGTCAGAAGGCGCTGAGCTCCGGGGAATGTGCCCCCGGCAGGGAGCGGGGCCACTGCCGCAGGGCCTTGTTTGGTTTATTTGAGGTGCCCCCCAGAGAGTTTTGGGGTTTTTTGATGTTTGTTTGCTTATTTTTTTTTTAAATAAGGAAAAAAGTTAAAAAGAAAAAAAAAGGGGGGGGGAAGAACCCAGCTCTTTCGGTCTGAGGCTGCAGGACTCTTACCCCACCTCTGCCCTCTCTGCCTGCGCTGGTCCCCCTCCTCCCCACCTCGCTGCCTGCACCCTGCCTGCCTGCGATAAGCCTGGCTTCAGCACCCTGAGGCAGAGCAGCTCCAGCTCCACCCTGTTGGGGAAGAGGTTCACCATCATGAGCCCCTCTGGCTGCTGCCTGGGACAGAGGCTCTGAGGCCAGCTCGGAGACCAAATGCCTTTGGGAAAACCCCGGAGCGGAGCTGGCAGCATCACATCCCATTTGGGGGATGTGGGCAGATAGCAACTGGGTTTGGCTGGTGGGTTTCTCCAGGCCAAGACTGATGGAGCCCAGGAAGGGGTATGAAAAATCAAAACTCTTGGCCTTGGCTGGAGCCAAGGAGGAGTTGGAGCTTGCACCTGGGTCCCTGCGACATCCCTGAACATCTCCTGTGCCAAACTGGCAGGGATGGCCCCGTGCCTGGCACCAGGCACAGGGTGGCAAGAGAAAATGCCACTTTCACAGAGCCCTGCTCTCTCTTCTGCGCCTGGCTCTCCCATTGCTCCCCTTGGCTTCGTGCACCCGACCGCCTGGGGACATCCAAACCTCCACATGTGGAGAGGCTCACTGCTGACCGACGCAGCCAGGATGGCCAACAGGTGCCGGAGGCACATGTGTCTTTGACGTGCCAGCATGTCCCCAGCCAGTGGCACTGTGAGGTCACCCTGAACCACATGGGAGGTGGCCCTCCCTGGGACAGAAACCCCCAGGACCAAGCCCCCCCCCGCCGTGCAGCTCCCCCGGTGCCAGAAACACAGCAAAGCTCCCCCTCTTGGGGGCCACCCCTGCCGCTCCAGTGGAGCTGGTGCCATCCACCTTTCCCCGCTGTCCCCTACCGCTGCTGTCCTCCTCACAGCCCTACCTCAGTGGGCACCTCGCCGCCCCATCGGGCACCCCATGCTTGGTGACAATCCCAGCTGGCCAGCCACCCCCTGCCCTCGGGGATGCCCCAGAGGTGGGAGCCATGTCCGAAAGCAGTTCCCTCATGTGAAAGAGCTAGTTCCTTCCCGGCATGCTCTCCTAAAACCTCACCAACCTTCCTACTAAACTGAACAGGGGGGAGCGGTCGTAAAATGGATCCCGGCCATCACACAGCGGGCACTCCGGAAAGATGTCTTCCTCCAGGTCCTCCGCCTCCTCCTCCTCCTCCTCCTCCTCCTCCTGCCCCAGGTGCTGCTCGTCAGCAGGCTCGGTGATGTCGGAGTCGGGGTTCGAGAAGGTAGGGGAGGGGGTGAGATCAGCCATGCGCTCGCTCATGCATGTGTTGAAAAGAGGAGAGCTGTTGCAGCCAGAGATATCTGAACTAAGGTTAGTACAACAAGATAGAAGACACGTTAACACCAGCTGTTCCAAACAGAGAGCAATAGGAATTTTGCTTTTTTTTGGGGGGGTGTGGGGTTTTTTCTTAGTTGGGCTTTGGGGTGGTTTGTTTTTTTTTCTGCTTAAACCAAGAGACATCGGGGAACTAAAGACCTACCCGTCCAGTGCGTCTCTGAAGGAAGCCACCAACAGCCCTTGGATACAAAGGGCAGAGAAAAGAGCGACCCAAGGAACTGGTGCAAACAGTTGGGGATTTCCCTCACTGAATTTGCGGGCAACACGGGGATGGAGCAGGTGGCACAAGGTTCGCCACCACCCCACCTCACAACTTTCCAACCGGCGTGCAGGAAAGCACACAGAGACACGCGGCACATACCATACAGATGGATGCTCGGACACCAACGCGTGCACATGGACGCGTGCCCACCGGGGCAGATGTCGCGACGGCACGGGGCTCTCAGCCTGTTGGACAGCCATACCCCCCCCTGCTTCCCATCAGTGGCAAGCCAA